CTCCCTCAGCCAACGGAAAGATACTTTTCCCTTTTTTAGTGGTTTTTAAGCTCCGTTGGAAAGCTCAGAGATTTTCCAAGCCTTACTCTGAGCGATGAGGTCACTGCTGACAAGGAAAAACAGGAGCAAAGTCCAGGAAAGTTTATTACCTAACTGGATTTTCTGGAGGGTCTCAGAGGGGCAGCCCTGAGGGGGGGGGGAGGAAGCTGGGCTGCAGGCAGGAACGTGGCCCCGATCCTCTGTGCACCGCAGCCTGTCCCAAGGCTAGCCAAGGACAAGGGGCTGCCCCCCAGCAGGCAAGCCATTGCCCCACCACCTTCACCCAGGAAGGAGTCCCGTGCGGGTGGGGGGCTGCTGGGCTGGCACCGAGACCTTTGCCCCTTCCTCCTCCTCGGCTGTGCTCTCTCTTCACGGGAGGGGACCAACCCTCTGATAGGGCAAGGATGCAGCCCAGAGAGAGGAAAACTTGACTATCTAATTGGGACAGAGGCCTTTCCCAGCACCGCCATCTGGATCCCTCAGCGGTTCCTACACAGTATCCAAGGCCGCAGTGGCAGACCCACCTCTGGGGTGCAGCTGCCGCCCTGGGGGACGCCCCCCTGGGTCACTCACCAGCAATCAATTCGTCCAGATCCAGCTGCTGGCTCTGCTCTCGGTCCACATGCAGGATGAGGAAGCCTTCCGGGGAAGGGGGGAGAGAAGGCCCTTTCAGCCCCACAGAACTGGGGGGTGGGGGGAATCCCATCCAGGAAAGTCCAGCCCTTCCGTGGTGGGGGCCCTTCTCACCTACAAACATGGGGGCAGCAGCTCGGATGTCGGCCCAGTTGCTCTTGAAGTAGAAGAGGTTGATGTTGACCAAACGACTCAGCATTTCCGGGATGCTCTGCATCTGAATCGGAGGGAAGGAAGACCTGGAGAACCAGCTAGCGCCAGGTGGAAGAGGAAAAATCTCTTCGGATGGGCAGCCGGGCCACGGAAACAAATCAAGGGGTCAACTCAGCTGCTTTGGTCATGGACAACACAGCCCTGTAGCCTCCTAAACTGACTGACTGGGACAATGTAGTGCCGTGTTGCCCACGGTCAGAGCAGCTGAGCCAGTAAGACTGAGGGCTCCGACAGCATCCAAATGTTGACCCTGAAAACTGCAGGTGGGCCAGGAGGGCGGAAGGGCCACCTCAGCCCAGTAGGCTCAGCCACAAAGCAGGACATCTCCACTCAGGAAAGGTCTCCCTCCCGTATTCCCTTCCAGCCGAGCAGAAGGGGAGGCCTGGGGTGCTTCTGGACCTTCTCTCATCCCTCAGAAAAGGTTGGGCTGTACTGTGGACCTCCTTGTTTTGAAACTGGTTGTGTAGGGCTGCTCCGGCACCTTCCCTGGAGCAGAGACTGGGAGACGGGAGGCTTAGCGAGGTCTTCACCCGCGGAAGGACGGGGAAGCCAAAGGCCAGGCGCTCACCAGGTGTTTGCAGGCGTCATTCATGAACTCGCCGTAGTGGAGGCTCCACTCCTCGTGCAGGTGCTTCTGAAACATCTCGCAAAGCCCAGGGCAGCTCATGATGGGTCCACACATGCGCAACGCAAACTTGCAGGCCTGCGAGGAAGGACAGGGGAGGAGTTGTGGAGCCTTCCCTGCGGAGGGGGGAAGAGAGCGGAGCCCGTCCTAGCTGGGGCACCGACCTTGATGACCTCCGGCTTTGGGTCTTGGAGATGTAGCAGCAGGGTCACCAGGCCGTAGAGGATCTGCTCAAAACAGGCGTCTTCACCGCTCCCTGAGGTGAACCTGGCCAGGTTCCCAAAGAGGAAGATGGAGGTCTTGCGGAGGTTGGGCTCCTCCTGCAAGGAAAGCAGTTCTGTGGGGGCGGCTAGAGGGGCCCCCCGTTCCTCCCCTCTCCCCACCACGTCCATCTTCTCCTTCCCAGACTTCATCCTCCCTGTAAAACAGCGGTCCCCGTTTCCAGTTTTGCAGACCGGTGTGTGTGTTGGGGGGAGAGGATGGTTCCACGCGAGCGGAGGGCAAGGGCACGCACACTCCCCACCCCCAAGCACATCTCCACACATCATCTGTTGCTGCAGCACAACACCCGAAGACACAGGTGGGAATGTGGTTCAGCCCTCAGGCCAAGCTCCTTGTGGACAGGGCAGCTGCACTTTTGATGTGCCACTCTAACGCTTCACAACTTTCCAGGGGGTTGGGGGAGGGTCAGGATTCCCAAGTCACATTAAGGATGACCTGGGATTCTCCACAGGCGTGAATCAGCCACCGGGTCCAAAAGACAACACAGCTGTCTTTTGCCAACAGCCATGCTAAACCAGGGATCGCCAAACGTGGCAACTTTTAAGACTTGTGGACTTCAACTCCCAGAATTCCCCAGCCAGCATGAGGAATTCTGGGAGTTGAAGTCCACAAGTCTTAAAAGTTGCCACGTTTGCACATCCCTGCGCTAGACAAACTCACCTGAGGGCCTCCCTACAGACCCCCCCCCGTCCCAAAGTGCTAGCAGCTCCCCTTTCCCTCCTCTACCGGACTGCCCTACTTACGCTGTCAAAGAACGGCCGGATTCGCATGGTGACGTGCAGCAGCACGGAGTGGACGTCGCTCTCTTCAGTGAAGGCCAGGATCTTGGAGAGGCTGGACATGGCTTCCAGGGCAACCAGGTTGTTGGGATCGTCCTTGTCGTCCAAGCTGTTGATCATGGTAGCCAGCAGCTGGGCCCCGTTCTTCCTCGCCTGCCAGAGGGGGGGGGGAGACAGAGGGCATGGGTCAGCAGCCGAACGCCAACCGCAGCTTTGGGGCACGTGCTTGGCAGAGGGGAGATGGCCTGTCCAGGAACTGGGGTGCTCTGCCTGTTCTGTTTGGGCAACCACCATCCTATCACGAGGAGAGCGTGGTGATGGACAGCTAGATTGTTGGAGGAGCAAAGGCACAGTTGCCAGAGGGGTGGGGGGAAGTGGCTGCTGCTGCCGCCGCCATTTTCCTGCCCAGGAAAGAGTTGGTGAACTTCTACCACGGATCTCATTTCCAGATGTGGAGCAGAAGCAGCTGCCCGCAAAGATGGAGACCAGCTCAGGAGCCTGGCAAAAGGCAGCCGAGCTTGACTGACCCCACGTGGCCACCCAAACCCAGGAGCCCTCACCTTCTCCGGGGAGCCCAAAGCAACATTGCCCAACCCACGAAGGGCCAGCATTCGCACCACCGCCAAGGAGTCCCTTTGCCGGGCCGTCATGCTGTCCATCAGAGTCTCCAGAAGAACCAGATCGTTCACCACGTTGTTACTGAGGAGCTGAAACACACACAGCCCCCCCCCCTTTGTGGCAAGGCAGTTTCCACCCCCAACATGGATGCCAGCCGGAAGGGTGGCAACCTTCTTCCACTCTACCTGCCAAGCCCTTCAGGGGCCAGAAACTGGAAGAATTCCTGGGCCCCACGCTGGCTTCAGTTGGCCAGCTCCCAGACGGGGCCGAAGGACTCAATCCACCCAAAGGCCAACACCCTCCGGGAGAAGAAAGTCTGAACCTGGATGGGGTTAGTGGGTCCTTCTCAATTTGCACTGGAAATGTCTCCCGCACGGGGGGGGGGGGTCCTCCCTGCTGGCCCCGATCCACTCCTCCCAGCAGCACTGGATCTGCCCCCTTGCCTCGTCCCCCAGCGACCTATGTTAAGGACCTGTGCAGTTTGCAGCTTCTCACTCTGTGTGTGTGTGTGTGTGTGTGTGTGTGTGTGTGTGTGTGTGTGTGCATGTGTGTGCGTGCCTGTGCAGGCATTCACTCCTCAGCATGATTCAAATGCTGTGTGCTTTATGGCCAAGTGTCCCCCCCCCCCCGCCCCTCCCCTCCCATCTGGCTGTGGGCTTCCCCGCGGAGCCTCTTAATCCCCGGCTGCTTTATCAGCTGAGGTTCTAAGAGGCAGCTTCCTGGCCCAGCAGCCACCCAGCTGCCTTGTAATGGAGACCATTNCAGCGACCTATGTTAAGGACCTGTGCAGTTTGCAGCTTCTCACTCTGTGTGTGTGTGTGTGTGTGTGTGTGTGTGTGTGTGTGTGTGTGTGCATGTGTGTGCGTGCCTGTGCAGGCATTCACTCCTCAGCATGATTCAAATGCTGTGTGCTTTATGGCCAAGTGTCTCCCCCCCCCCGCCCCTCCCCTCCCATCTGGCTGTGGGCTTCCCCGCGGAGCCTCTTAATCCCCGGCTGCTTTATCAGCTGAGGTTCTAAGAGGCAGCTTCCTGGCCCAGCAGCCACCCAGCTGCCTTGTAATGGAGACCATTTGGAGGCCCCCAGCCAGGGCTGGCAACTCAGCCGAGGGAGGGTCACAGTCACCCAGGGTGGGGGAGGGGAGGCAGCCGGACCTCCTCCGTTCCTCAGGGTGGACATTGAGGGATGAGGTGAGGGTTGGTGGCCTCGTCTGCTGGTGGCCCAGGCAGTCCCCAGCAAAAATAAAAGCCCAGAGGGGGTCCGTAGCCCCCACGGTGAGACAGGCAGCAAAAAAACCCTAGCAAATAAATAAATTCAATAATCCCTGTGGCCCACTGGCAGCTTCAGCGCTATCAGACAGGCTGAAGGAAACCAGAAGCCACGGGGGCCCTTTGCTGGCTCACCCCCCCCATTAGCTTACTCACTCCATCTGCCTCTGGAGAGCAGGCTGCCCAGGGCTGGAGGCAGCAGGCGGGAGCCGGATCCTGCTAAAGAACCGAGGGATCCCCAGCCGCTGCCTGAGCCGGGTGCTAAAAGCAGGCCTCCGTTCCCCTTCTCGCCATCCTTTGCAGCTCCTGGACCTGGGGTTATGAGCCTCACAGATGGGGAGGCGGAACTGCCCGAGACTGGGCTAGAAGGGCAGCCGGGGCCCCAGGCGGACTCACCTCGGCAAAGAAGGCGGTGGTGGTGAGCCGTTGGTTGTCGTAGATGCTGTTCAGCATCGGTAAAAGCAGCTTCACAATCGGAGGGAGTTTGGGCCCCGCCTGCTCCGCCATGGCCCTGAAACAGCCCCCGAGAGCCCTCCGGGTGAGCCAACCGGGCAACATCATCAGTGCAAGGAGGGGGTGGGGCTTCCAGAGTGGAGGGGGGGAGGAGGAGGAGGAGGAGGAGGAGGAGGAGGAGGAGACTGAGGCGCTCTCTGAACTTGGCTGTTTTTTTGCAGGCGTTTCATTACCCAACTAGGCAACGTCACCAACGCACTGATAAAGTTACCTGGTTGGGTGATGAAATGGCTTCAAAGCCAACCACAAGCCTGGAGGGCACCAGCCCCCAGCAGCAGCCTATATTCTCCCCTAGAGAAGCTCTTGGACGTGTGAGCATCCCTGTCCCAGCAGCAGCAAAGTCCTGGCGCCAACCCTCCAGAGCAGGCAGGGCCACCTGGAGCCCTCCGGGCCCCTCCCGGGACAATCCCAGGCCAGCAAAGGGCCCGATCCAGAGTGTCCTCCGCTCACCTCGCCAGAAAGGCCACGCCGTCATAGTGCGTGTCCGGACTCCGCAGCAGTTCCCAGCCACCGGCCTCCGTCACAGCGCCGCTCACTGACTCGCTGCCGCCCTGGCTCAGCATGGCCTTGAGGGTCTCGATCGCAGAGCTGGGGAGGGGGAGGAGGAGGAGGAGGAAGAGGAGAGGGGTGCTGAGGCCCACTGCCCAGGAGCCCAGATGCTGGAGGATGCCCAGAGCTTAGCCCAGTGCCAATGCGGATGCCTGTCTGCTCCCAGGAGCCTGTCAGGATGTCCATCTGAATGCCAAGAGCTCCAGAGCAGCTGGTCCACTCAAAGTTACTGGGGAGGGGAAGGCGGGGGGGGGGCACTGATTCCCTGGCACAGTGAGTGAGGCTCCATCTGGGAACCTCTCCTGATCTTCTCACACTGGAGCCAAAGTATTACAAGGAAAAACACTGGGAGACCTGCTCTGGGAGGGAGCTACATGTCCTCTGGCTGGAGTAGCTCCTCAGAAGCCCCCCCCCAAAAAAAACTCTCGCCTGGATGGCCCCGATCCTGCAAGTGCATGCCTTCCAGAGCAGGAGGTGGATCCCCTGGTGACTAAGAGACCACTGCTGCAGACAGAAATGGCCGGCCATCAGTGACCCCAGGAGGGCTGTCCAGACATCTGGAGATGTTCAGGATCCTGTTGGGCATCCCGTTCCTCTCAGCTTCTGCCCCCCACCTCCAGGCCCTTTTGGGGGGGGGCACAGCTGGCAACCCAGTTTTGTCTGTGAAGGTTCTCATTCATCCAGGTCATGGTTATCCCAAAGGTGTTTTTATTTTAAAGGCAATTGGACTTTCTGATTTTTCTTCAAGGTGTTTCACTTCTCATCCCCGAAGCTTCTTCAGTCAGAAAGTCCAACTGCCTTTAAAGCAAAATCACCTTTGGCGCAAGATACGGTGCAGGATCTGCACACCCCAACCAGCCATTTTCTCCAAGGAAACAGGCTGAAGATTGGGGGGCTACAAAAGGACCTCCCCAGTGCCACAGGACTAACTTACTGCTCCTACAGTGAGTGATCCCAGCACCGTGCCAGCAGCATGACACCTGGCAACGTGGCCCACCGGAGCACAGCTATCCTGCACAATCCCCCCCCCCGCTTCCCTCCCCCCCAGTTGAACTACCAAGTCTTTGGGTCCCCCAAAACAAGGCGCGTGTGGCCGGACATACAGGTGCCTCAGAAGACATGCAAGTGACCCAGGTCTCCAGGTGCTCAGATTTGAGAGCCCAGGTGCCCCTCCGCATATGTGGACCCCAGTTGGGAGACCTCCCTCCCCCCCCAGGCTGCTCTGCTCTCCAGCTGGCCCAGCCCCGGCCCCAGCCCAGATGCCCAGGGCAGCCCCTGCAGCGCAGCCAGGCGGCTGGAATGGCAGCCGTGATCCCATCCGGCCTTGCGGAGGACGGGCATCCCACCCCCCCCCCGGAGGAATGCAGTTGCAAACCGCAGGGCTGACTGCAACAGGAAGCACAATTTAATATTTCCTGATCTCGGAGAGAGGAGCGTGTGGAAAGCAGGCCCGAATCCCCCGGGCGGAGGTCAGGCCCGGCTCCATACCTCCTCTGCGATGGGCCGTGGCGCATTAGCCAGCCCCCATGTTACCCCGGGGGCCGCCGGCGGGCTGTTTACTCAGGAGCCGAATCAGTTCCACCTGGCGGGGGAGGAGGGGCGGGGGGAGCAGGGGGAGGCGTCGAGCCCCCCCCCTTACAGCCCCATCCGTTACCTGCAAGGGTCGAGTGAGCGCAGGCCCTGCCCCCGGCCGATGCCCTTCCGCTCCTTGGACTGCAGGTGCTTCGGCAGCCGGACCCCCACCGTGCAGCTGACCCGGAGCAGGAGGGAGACGAAGAGCTCCGCGTAGAGCCCCCCCACGGCCGGTCCAGACTCCCGGACAGACATGATCTCATGCAGCGCACACGTGGCCTGGCGGGGGGGGGGAGCCGCATCCATTTCTGTCCCCCAGCAGGAGGCACTGGCCTCCCCCCCTCCCTCCTCACACACGTCATCAGGGCTCCAGGTGAGCAGCCCCCCCTGCAGGACTTGGGGGGGCTTGAGCAGACACCCCCCCCAGCAGCCCTGGCTAGGATGGCAAGATGTGCAGCTACTGCTCCTCCCCCCCTCCGGAGCCCTCCACTGACACATGGGCTCCCCCCAGCAAGGCCAGCGAAGGGGGTGAAGGCAGCCAAAGGGGGTCTGCGGACCCCGGGCTTCAGCCCTCAGCCAGGGCTCTTGAGCAGCCTCCTCCGAAGATGCCCAGAGGCGCCCCTGCCCACCCAGACCAGGGCAGAGGGCAGCGGAAGGCGGGCACGAGCCGGGTGCAGGAACTGGCAGTCCTGAGGGCACCCCAGAGGGCAGGGTGAGAGATCCACTGCATCTGGAAGGAGGGGGCTCAAGGAAGCCTCCCCAGGCGTGGGGCAGGGAGGGGTGCCAGGCTCCGTGCCAGGAACAAGCAGGGAGGTGAACCGGACTGACCCCCTCCTTGCCAGACAGACCCACAGCAGCCCCACTGCAAGACAGGTCAGCGCCACAGAGGCTCTCAGGAGCCCTTAATAGGGCCGGGGCAGACCCCTGCCTTGCCACGGGCTAAGCCAAACGTGGGTGCAGGGCGACAGCGCTGCCCCCGTGCAACTGGGAGGGGGGGGAGGGACCGGAGAGGCCCCTGGCAGAAGGCGGCTGCCCCGGACACTCACCGAGAGGGGGTAGAAGGTGGCCACGCGCTCCGAGCGGCTCCCTCGCAGGAAGGACTTGTTCTCTTTGTACGGGACGTCCCGGTTGACTTTGTCCAGCAGCAGCTCCAGGACCTGGGCGGTCAGGGTGGGCTCCAGCGCCAGCGCCCTCCACATGGTGCAGCTGCAGCTGCAGGGAGGCAGAGGAGCCCCTGTCAGCCCCTTCCCGGAGCCCTCCCTGCCTCCGTCCTTCTTTGCGCCTTGCCAATGAAATCGTCCAGAGAAAGGCAGCTGCTTTGGGGCAGACCCCCCGGGGGACAGAGTCCCTGAGGCAAGGCCACTCATCGCCCAGGAGCCCCCAAAGGGAATGGGGAGGGGGGAGCTGCCAGCCTTGTTCCCCCCAAATGCATTTCCAAGCTCCGACCCACAAGCCCCTCGTGGCACCTGCCACAGCTGAATCAGGGGAACCCGGAGTGCCTTTCCGGGGGAGACCCTTCCTTCAGAGGGGAACTGACCACCACCTGTTGTAGGCCATGCAAGAGACCCTGGCTGGCCTGGAGCCACTCAGGAGCAAGAGAAGACCCTCCCCAGGAAGACCTCGGTGTATGTGTGTGTTTAAAGGANCCCCCCCCCCCCCCCGTCTCAGCTGCAGGCCTGCCAGGCTCCCATTCAAACAGCAGCAAGGTGGAGGGGGAGCTGGGATTTCCAAGGCTGGGGGGGGGATGCCCCTGCAGTTGGCAATATGGAGGAGGAGAAACGGGGTCTGGTCGCAGAGCTCAATCCTGGGGCTGCAGACGTGCTGGGCTGGGCTCGACCATGACTTCAGGGGCTCCCTGCGATGAGTATGGCCTCCGGGTCAGGTCAGAGGCCGAGGGGGGGAGGATCGAGTCCTTGCCCCCCTGGGGCCATTTATTTAAGCAGCTTCCTCCAGACACGAAGGGTCCCACAGCAGGAGGAGGAAGAGGAGTGGCACAGGCGAAGTCTCCCTCTGTGGTGGGGGGCTGCTAGCAGCCACTAAGGCCGAGGGAGACCCCGCCTTCTCTGGCCTGGGAGCTGAGGGTTTTCCAGAAGCAGCTGCCTGGTCAGTCGGCGCAGTGACTTGGCAGACCCGTCCCCAAGGGCCGGACCCCAGAAGCCGAGGGAGAAGCCACTGGGGACGAGCGATTGGGGGGGGGGCTCTCCTCTCCCGGCCAAGGAGCTAAGAAAGAGCCCTGGTGGTTCTGAGAAGCAAATAGTTTATTAAAAATAAGTTGTCTGAGTCTATATACAAACTCTTGCTGAGAGGAATGCGCATAAACTTTGGAAGGTGCAGCAGGGCGCTCTCCCCCCCACCCCCCACCACACCCCCCCCCGTGCTGGGGCTGGAGGGACGGGTGCCAGCGTGGCACAGCCGCCTGCCCAAAAGCCGAGTCAGGAGGCACCTGCTCCTCTGTGGGGCAGGGAGGGGAGGGGCCACGCTGGTCCTCTGCCCCTGTGCAACAGCCCTGAGACTACTCTGTGCCCCATGTCTGGTCCAGCCTACCCAAGTGGGGGGGTGGGGTGGGGGGGTCCCCTGCAGAAATTCAAAAAGACATGGAAACACAAAAAGGTGCAGAGAGTTCAGGTCTTCTCTTTAAGGTGTTGAGGGCGGGGAATGTTCCAGTATGCGAAGGTTGTGTTGATCTGGAAGACGTGTGACTTGCCTCTCGGGAGGGGTGAGGGCAACCTGGAGCTGGGACGGGGGGGGGAATCCCATTTCCTCCGGTGGCATCCGTGGCCAGGAGTCCTTAAATGGCCCTGCCCAGGCGGCCCAGGGTCTCCACCGCCTTCGCCCGCACCGTCGTCACGGGGTCCTTCAGCAGCACGGTCAGAGCTGGACAAGAGAAACGGCCGTCCGTCAGCCAGGAGCCCAAGGTCCCGGGCAGCCCTCCTGCAGCCCTCCATTGCTGCCCCATCTGAAGGGCCACGGCTGAAAGCCAAGCACTGGCGGAAGCCCGGCTCTCTGGGGGCCACGGGCAGTCTCGGCCCACGCGGCAGCAGCAGCTCCGTCGGCTGAGCCGGGCTGCTGCGTCTGCTCTGCCTGCGCCTGGCCCCGGCCCAGCTGCAGGGCGGGCGAGGGGCCAGGAGTCCCTCCCAAGCAGCAGAGATACAATAATATTTTTCCAGTAGCATGTTTACACTGCAAATCCGAGACTCTCCGGTCCCGCCAGAGCAGCGAGCGAGGGAGACGGGCTGATTTATGCACAGAGCCCTTCCCGTCCATCAGCCCCGACCAGCTGCAGGAGCTCCGGGGGAGGAAGGGGGGGCTGGCAGGCCCAGCACTCGCACTCAAGACGGGAAGCTGTGGCGACCCCATCCGGAGTCCTTGCCGCTCCCTCCCCCTCCCCGGCATCCCCCCCCCACCCCTGCACACAGACGGGCCTCTCTTCGGGACGGCTCCCTCAGCCAACGGAAAGATACTTTTCCCTTTTTTAGTGGTTTTTAAGCTCCGTTGGAAAGCTCAGAGATTTTCCAAGCCTTACTCTGAGCGATGAGGTCACTGCTGACAAGGAAAAACAGGAGCAAAGTCCAGGAAAGTTTATTACCTAACTGGATTTTCTGGAGGGTCTCAGAGGGGCAGCCCTGAGGGGGGGGG